TAAATTTTTCCATTTTCAGGCAGGACGACCGCAATTGGCTCAGAAATATCTGCATCAACTGACAGCACACAAGACCCTACCGTATCTGTTTATTTGCGGGACCTTCATCGGAAGTGCGTTCATGTGTTTTTTCCTTGTTTTCTTTCCTGCTTAACTTTTTCATGTACATTTCAAGAATAGTTGAAATTCAAAGGATAATTCCTGGAATTGTTCAGGCAAAATGAATCCCCTAGCGCCACAATTTAGAAAAAAATCTTTGATAGTAGTTGAGAAAAAGGCCTTTAAAAACTCTGTGATTATTTGCAATTGATTCTTCAATCCACCCCTGACTGTTTCATAATTACGGCCTGTTTATATTTATTGATTACTTATCGATTTACTACTTCTCTGAATTTTTTAGTTTGGCATTTAACGATCATTATAAGATGGGCTATTGATTCCACAACAAGTACTACCCAGTTGAGAACGAATTTTTATCTGCAGTAATGAAGCAGAAAAGAATACAAAATGCTCTCCTGATAGATGGGTGCCCGGGTTGTGACTCCATCACGACCCAAGGTGGCCAGCAAGTAAGAGGAGCGCCGAGCGCCAGCACGGGTGTCTCCCAATGGCTGGTCGTCTGTAGTGGTCCCGGAAAACTCCGCCCACATTGAGCACTTTTTGCTACCAATCAGAGATAACTTTGACAATCTATAACATTTTTTCGGCTATTTACGTGACCTTCGTATGCGATACTCATTGCCGTGTAAGGAATCCTTGCCCCTCACACAACCAGTGCTTGTTGTAACATTTTTATCTTTTAATATTTTTTAATATTTTTCATTTTTATTTCTATTTGTTTGTTTATTTACAGCGTCTATTTACTGCCTATAGTTTCCATTCAATCTGATCCTTATTTTCTAGAAAAGAAATCGCTTTTAAGGTGAGCAGCATATCCAGAACTACCACAAAAACGGTCAGATACCGCAATTGGTCGAGTACGTGTGTGGTGAGGAACGGAAGAAGACGAAGAAAACCACTAAAAAGACGTCATCGTAATCGCCGTCGCTGGGTCTTTCGAGTGTAGTCATTTATTCAGATTTATTTAATATCATAATTTATTCTCTACTTATATTTCAAAGAACTACTATATTGAAATTCTCTGTCCATATGTTACTCTCAGGATCGCCGTTAAATCGTCCAATCTTTCGATTTCTTGTGTATGATTTGTGTACGATTTTTGAATTCTGCTGAAATCCTCATCATTCGGACCTCGTCTTTTGTAGGCAGAAGGTCCATCACACCAGAAATAGTACTGCTTACTGCTCTGTTGTTCTTCTAGTGAATGTGACTATTGATTCATTGGTTAAATGGTTGTTGACTTTGAGGCTGTTCCGAGTGTGTCCTTGTTGGCGTCGAGAGCTTATCCCACTGTTCGCACGCGCCGTAATCCGCTCGATGACCAAGGTTCGTTAGCACCTGAGCTCTTATCTTCTCCTAGTGACCCAGCCAATTCGTGCGAATATCATGATAGCTCTATTTTCACAAACGCCAGTTTGTATTGATCATGGCCCAAACAAATGACCTACCCTTACCTAAACAATGCAGGACTCCGGCAATAGAATCAGATCTAAAAACAACAGTGGACTTTTGCACAATTGTTTGGCAAAATTACCAATGACTTTCTCTAGATACACGCAAATAAAGTGGTTCGCGCGCTGCGGAGTCCGTGCGTGGCGTGGTTTCCTCCGTATGCTTGTGAGTGTCTGAAGATGTGCGTACGTATAGTACGTATGTCTGTGTGCAAAAAGCGTGAAAAATCATTGTTTTCGAGTATTCTCCTCACCGGGGCGGAGTTTGTGGGGCGGGGCTTGCTTACACATGATACGAAATGAATGTTCCTGTAACAGAGGGGCACAGTCTTCTACCCGTAACCGAAACGAACCCAAATTCGATGCAATACTGAAATAATAACAAAGTGCAGAGCAATCCCAAGAGGGTGAGAGTCGTTCTAACTGAAGTCTAAACGAATATCCATCAAAAATTTCGTCACTGTGTCTTACAAGGTTTCAGGATAAACCTACATTAATTTCCCGACTTTTGTTTTTTGTGTCTTAATTTCAGTTTGGAACCCCATTTTTCCAACAAATTACGACAAGGCGCCAAATTCGCTCCTCTATAAGAAGGAGAATACATTTATAAACTAACGACCATAAATAAGCCTTGAAATTCTCATTAAAACCGAATTGGGTACAAAAGAATTTTCACATCTGCGAAACCTGATCCACAGAAGTAACAAACTAAGGCGCAAGGAAGCGATGTGTGGCGCTTGCACTGCGAACAGTGCTGTGGTTGCTGAGCAGGACCATTGCGCCCTTCCGCCCCATGCGCCGCCCCGCCCCATGATTCATCGGTGGCTTGGGCGAGCCGTGTTGCCAGCCGCAGCGCGGTTAGGGCGCCATGCCTGCTGTTCGCTGCCCAGCACGCGTTGCGCAATCTCGTCCACGCGTGCGCGGTCTTCGCCGCAGTCCATCTGAGAGCCGCAATAAACGGCCCAAAAGGGGGTCCCATTTCTCGTTTCCTGGACCGATTTCGCTGCTTCTTTCGCCACTGACGTACCATTGAGGACCCCCTCGTCCCCTCTAAACCCCATTCAAACCTAGCGTAACCGCTGCCTTTAAAGAATCTTCCACGAAGAAGCTCCACCTTCATTACCACAGAAAACGATACCTTAAAGGAATCTTCCACGGAAAGAGTGACCATTTTGTCTTGTGTGTAGGATTAGTATTATCGAAACTAACGCTTATGTTCCGTTCTTTTTGCTATGCTCATGAGGCTAGGGGCCTAAGGGGTATCGTTTTTCTGTGGTAATGGAAGCGGAGCTTTTTCCGCGGAAGATTCCTTCAAGAATGCTTAGAAGGTTGAGTGGTACTTTTAACTGTAATAATTTTGTAGAACCCTTTCACCAATTCCCTTGTTACTATACTGAACGGGCAACGAGTTGTTGAAATCGGATTTCTGAATGCACCATTTAGTTGATGGTCGTATTTGATCTGATACATCTCTTAAGAACTCCTCCCAATGAGATCGCAGTTTTGAATAGAATCCCGCTCCTGTCCACTTTACAGATTTCAAATAAAGCTCTAAAAATTGATCATCACGATATGAATCAACCATGAGTCGAAAAGTGTGTGCAGCTCTTTGAAAAGTTAAGGATAATGCTTGAACGTCAAGATTCAAAGAAACATCCGCAAATTTCGAGCAATTCTCACATCTCCATTATTCATATCTAACTCAACGTTCGAAGAAAGAATATCACATCAGTAAAGAAAAGTGAAAGCCCTATGGTAAGCTTGACTGAGGCTGCCCGTTTTTTGAACCTTCGTGAGGGCTGGTTACAATAGATCAAAGTTATAAAAAGCCACATCGTGCTTACAAACAGTATCGATCTTATACAGTTTGCTGAACTTCGAGCTCCAAGCCTCTCGCCTCATTTGGCTTCTCAGACTGCCCCCGGAAACACGCGTCATTGGTAGCATTTCTCCCTGTTGAATATGATTGAAACAAATATTTTTTCTAAATCCATCTGTCTTGCAATATCGTCTACCCTTACGGTTCTTCTTCGCTCGTGTCATCTTACCACTCTACCAATCTCCCGAAACTATACCATGAACACTTCCTTCGATATTCGTCCAAACTCGCAGATGAGCACTAGAAGTCTATATTGGCAAATTACCAATAGAATTAGAGATGCATGGCGCAACCTGCGTATTTCTCATATATCCGATCTCACACCGAATCCAGATGATCAGCCAGCCGTTCTTTCAGGCCGAATCGTTTTGCGAGGTCATTGACGGCGCTATTGAATTGCGAAAGAAATTGTAACCGGCCAAAAGGGACCATAAAAATTAATGCGACGACCGGCGGGCACGACGGGATAGTCGACATATCTCATCTGACTATGTAAGGTTGCGAATGAGAACGTTCGGTGATCGCAAAGAACTCTCCGGACACGTTGCTGCTCAGACGACGCCGTCTAGTGATCGGATTCTATGGAAGAACAGTACAAAACCATCAGTTATAATCTGTATACACTTCAAGGTACAAAAGCACAATCAATAAATCAATGAATCAATCGATAATGAAGATAGCGACTGGAAACAGGCACATTTGGACAGTTTTAGAGGTCAACCCCACACTCTCGTCGCTCGCCACCCGCCCGTCTCCCACACTCACACACTCTCGCCACTCCACACTCCGACTCCACTCGTTCATTAGCCGCATGAGAATACTGTTGTAGGTATACTCGGTAACATAAAACATGGACGATAAATTGGAGTCTGATCGTAGCAAACCCAACACACGTTGTGGGACCAAATCAACAATACTACTACCCAAAGCATTTCCAAAAACACTCGCACACGTGATCTGAATCGTGAATAATCACTAAATTCTCCACGTTTGCAGATTTACGTCAGTTGCTTGCGTATCCCAAGTTGCAAACAACAACTGCGATACAGATATACCGACATGAAATACATGGCGCTATTAGCTGCCGAACGTTTCATGCAGGTGGTCCTAGTGCGAAATTGATAGGCCCAGGTGTCATGGTAAACGCGTTGGTTGGTGTGAGATGATGGCGGTGGGGGTCCGATAGGCACAGAGATACGGTCCTCAGCTCGCAACGCTGCCACCTGCTTCTGCAGCTCGTGATTTCGGATCGTCAGCTGCCGAATCCTGAAAGTACCGTAACACAGTGGATTTTAGGGACTTGCTGAAACGTCCCGGATCACCTTTGCCCTTCACAAAAAAAGTAGGGACCTACAAATTTATCCAGCAACATTGCGACCTTGAAAACATTTTCCAGCGCTATCGCAACATAAGGGGCATTCTGGTGGCAATGCATACATAAAACATCTCCTTGTGGTTAAAAATTGGAGTAAAAAACGGGAGAAAGCCTTAGGCGAAGGAAGAGAGACTCCAGGGTAAGTGAGCAATTTTGATTCCCCCTACCAAAGTTCCTGCCCCTCTAAGCTTAGCCCTAGAGGATGCCCCCAATATCTTCCCATCCCGTTTTCTTTATAGAGCAAGTTTGAAAAAAGCGCAAAACCAATGGCTAATTTATAACTCTAATCAAATTCTTACCAGTTGCATGCCAGTAGCAAAGTATTGATTTTGCTCATTTTCCGTGCAGACTGGTCCTGAGAGTACGGTAGACAACTACGAAGTTCTTCCAGGGCTTCGTTCAAGTCGTGCATTCGTTTCCTCTCCCTGGAGTTTATCGAAGTCCGTAAGATGTTTTGCTCCTATAATTGATAAATTTTCACCCTGCTAAAAGCCGCTAGCAAAATCGATTTTGCTAAAATGAAATGAATCTTTTCTTCTTTCATTCCTTTCATATGTCTTCGCAGTTTCGCGAAAAATACTTAAATGGTACTGTTTCACAGTGACTATAAAGCGAAGAAAACAAAAGTTTCGCTGATAGGAACATTATGACGGTGGGAAATATTGCAGTTGAGCCCACTACGGATCCAGGCGCTTTCAACATGCGCATCACGCGACCAAAAGGGTGAAAATCGTTCTGTTTGGTTTATTCAGTTCAAGTTTCGAGTTTCAAACATTTCAGCATAGGTTTTCCAAGTCTGGAAAATGATGTGTAATTTGCACTTGATAAATTATTGATAGATTTCTTGGTGTGGAGCTGCTCCGAAGCCTCATGGTGACCTGAGTGAACAACATCAGTTTCAGGCTCAATGATTTCATTGCAAAAAAAGCTGAAAACACTAAAGATGCCATGAAATGAAAAAAAAGGTTATTTTTTTCTCTCAGGCTTTTAGAATGAAACCTTG